TAACCATGGGGAATGAACTCGTGCGCTTCTCAGCCTGCTCTGTGTCTTCCTGGCTCAGCTCCTTTCTGAACAAACATAACCTTTTGCAAGAATACCTGTCAAAATAGCTTTGAAATATTGAAATAACAAGATAGGAAATGGTTTGCTCCTGGGCCCTAGTGCTCATCCATCAGGACTCAGGATGTCCGTCCAAAGAGACTTGTGAGCAGGATGCAAGGGAAGAACTCCAGCAGGCAGCAGGGCCCCAAAGGGCTGTATTTGGGGACCTTGTCACCTTGCTGTGCCGGCTCACTGGGTTCCCGCACGCTCACCACGAGAGGAGAGCAGCTCCCTGACCCTCATGTGGTCCCTGCTTCGTGTTGGTCATGAGGTGAGTTATGGGGGCTTGTGACTCAGCTGGAGCTCATCAGTGTAAAATTGTGTCCTTCAGCCACCCTCCTCCTCCTCGCCCCAGGGCATTACTGTGAGTATTTTAGAGACGGGGCAAAAAGTTACTGAGTCTTGGACAAGCATTGGAGAGCAATGGTTGAGGGGCCTGTGGCTGCTTGGGTGGACATGAGACATGAACACAGGACCATCCCCTTCCCTTCCAGTCCTGGAGTCCCAAGGGCTGTTCAGGGGCTCCCCAGGGTGTCCATCTCCAAAGCCACTCATGTGAAATTGAAGTCAAACTGGCCTGCGGGCAGCACTAGGGCTGCAGATAGGAGGTGCTGCACCCCCTGCCTGCGCCAGGGGCTGCATTTGGGGTTATCCATGGGGGAGCTGCCGGACATCCAGTGGTGGGAGTCCCAGGAGTGAGGGGCAGGATTCCTGGGCCAGGGCCTGTGCCTACTGTAACAGCTCTCAATATGGGCAAGCTGTAAATGCTTAGTGTCTTCTCCCTCAGCAAAAATCACCCCTCTCTGATGTCCTTCTCTGGAGAGCAGGAAGAGGCTTTCTTCTCTAACTTATCAACAGCTCCCCATCTTGAAAGGTAAAGGGATAACCCAACCCTCAGTGGCTGGCCCCAAGGGCACCACTCTCCTGATATGTCTCTTCTGGGGGGAGAGACTGATACTTTTTAGTTGGCAGGAGAAATCCCACTGCATGTGGTTGCACCTGCTCAACCAAGAGCCCTTCACTCCTCATCCCTTCCCTCTTCCTGGTGGTGATGGTCTCCCAACTGGAATAAGGTGGGGGATTCTGCTTTTCTGGATACGTGTTTTTTTTCCTCAATATACTTGGAAGTGATGAGAACTTGGTCACAGACAAATGCTGGGAAAAATCAAACCCAAACACTTAAAAACCCAAACACTCCCCCGCTCCAAAAAATATCCCATCAACCAACCAACCAACCAACCACCAACCAATCAACAAAAAAGTCTTTCAAACCAAACACCATCTCTTTCTCTAAAATCCATGATTAAAACCTGGTACAAACAGGTGAATATAGAGATATATATATATATATTTTTAGTAGATGTAGTATTGGTTTTTTTCTCCTCTCTCTTTCTCATTATACAGCAAACATTGCAAATATAGAAATTTTCTCTGTACAATTAACGACTTCAGTTTACAATGCAATGTGTGGTAAAACCTCTCAGTGAGTGAAAATGTGAACGGGCCTTCAACCGGGTAAAAGTCTAAACTGGAAGACTCCGTTTGCAAAAACAGCCCAAGGGATGGATCTCCTTCTGTTCTCTTTTTGGTTTTTGTTGCTGTTTTTGTTGCTGTTGATTTTGGAAGGGAAGGAAGGGAGAACACAAACTGTTCACAAAGAATCCACAAAATCACAGAATAGGGACTCATGCAATGCAATATTGGGAAACGCCAGACCTCAGCTCTCTGCCCACTCTTTCACTTTCTTTTTATATTAAATTTTTTTTCTTTTTTCTTATTAAAAAAAAATCAAAATTAAACAAAACTTTTTTTTCTTTCACTCCACAGTTTGTTCATTTTGTAAAGTTTGTGTTCAAATTTGGTTCGTGTCTCACTAATGTGAGGACATTTTAATATCTCACTTTATATATTATATAGAATATTTATAATTTTTTCATAATGTGTTCTCTCTTTTATTTTTATTGATTTTTTTTTAAATTTTATTTTGTTTCAAAGACAGTCTGAATAAAAATAGCTGCTGCGGATTTCTTTTGGTCCAGTTAGTGTGTTAAGTCACGAGTTGTGTGAGGACTCAGGACTTTTGCTGGGCAGAGACGCCCTTCCAGTAGTCTAAGATGTCGTGAAGATCCTCGTCTTTGGCAAACTGGACCTTTTTGCGTAGGGCGTGGCCGGCTGCCATATACTCCTCCTCGTCTTTGTGCCGCTTGCGGTTAAGTTTGAAGCGCTCCCAGATGCTGTGCGATGGTTTGCAGGTGTACTCTGGGCTGGAGGTGTAGCTCAGGTTGTGATATTGAGGCGAGAGCTGGGAATAGGCCAGGTCTCTGGGGCGAGGACGAGTCAGAGGCTCCAGGATGGAGGGCTTTCGCCCCGCCATGCTGTCGTGCTGCTCCCCTTGGTGCGAGCTGGGGTACGAGTGCCGGTGTTCGCTGTACTGACGGATCTTCTCCGCCTCTGCCCGCAGGATGGCCGCGGCCGGTGTCACAGTGAGGATGGTGTCAGTGGTGGGGGACGTCTTCTCGATGTATTTGGCTTCTGATTTGTGGCCCGATCCCTCAGAGCGGTAGGACCTGGGGCTCCGTATAGAGCCACTGGAAGAGGTGCTGGAGCGTTTGGGGGCTGCCTCCATGCTGTGGTGCCGCTGGAGAGGGTGGTTGTAGCTTTCCTTGTAGACAGGGGAGAGGAATCCATGCTTGCTGGGGATCTGCTCTAAGAGCACCAGCTGAGGCTCCACTGTGGAGACTGCCCCTGATTTCACCCCTTGGAAGGAGGTGGACTCAGATTTCAAGGCATCGATGCAGTTGTTGATGATCTGGTTCACCTTGTCCACCTCCTTGGCAATGGTGGAGATCTCAGCTACAGAGCTCTGGGTGTCCGGCGGCAGGGACAGCTCGCAGTCTCGCCTCTCGGGCTGCTCACCTGTCCTCACCTCCATGTAGTTGCCTTTGGTGGCCTTGGGGGTTTCACTGCTGTCAATCAGCTTGTACTGCTCGACCTCACCAGCAGAAGGCAGGTAGGGGATGCGGGTCACCGTCTCCCCGCCCAGCATCTGTCCCTGGGACAACTGGGTGATGCTGGTGGTCTCCATTTCTGGCCCATATTTCAGCTCAATGATGGTCTTCTTCATGCTGCCGGCAGCCTTTTTGTGCTTCTCTTCCTGCTGGCGCCTCTTCCGGAGACAGTAGTACACAACACCCAGGACAATCACCATGCCAAAGAGACAGCCCAGGATTGTCATGATATAATGAGTGGCAGTGGAAGGGGTGGGCACCGGCTCCTTGCGGTTGGGTCTGGTGGGTGTGATGGTGACACAAGTGTGGTTGTACTTGGAGTATTGGTGGACAGAGACTACACAGTAGGTGTAATCTCTTTGTGCTACTAGGTTGCTCACGGTGATGTTCTCCTCCTTCTTCCTGAGCTTGGTGATCATGGAGGAGAAGCCATTTTCAAACTGGGAGAGGATGTACATCTTGCTGAAGGGGTAAGGGATCTGCACGGTGAGGACGGCTGAGTTGTGGTTGAGGTGCTTCACCTGTATGTTGGGGCGCACCTCTGTTTCACCAATGGGTGTGAAAAGGGAGAACTGTGGGGTCGTGCCGTCACCAGAGGAGCACTCCTCCTCGGAGCAGGGGCTTTCGGAGGGCACCGTGGTCACCTGGTACCTGGGAGGGATAAAACGAGGGATCACAGTGTAGGAGCCACCGGTGCAGAGGGAAGAAAGCATGCTCAGAGCATTGCGGTAGCCAGTTCGGCCTTGGCCTAACAAGTAGTAGCCCGTGTAGTCGGGTGGGGAGTCGCACTGCATCCGGTCATACGTGCGTGTCATGTTGGTGAATGCCTCCAGCCATTGCAGGAAGCCGAGGAGCTCACAGGAGCAGTAGAAGGGGTTACTGTACAGTTCACAGACAGAGAGCTTGTTTAGGCCCCGGAAAGTGTTGCTGTCGAGTCTCTGGATCCTGTTCATGGACAGGTCAATGTTCACTATGTTGGGGCACTCCCAGAAGGCATTGGGGGTGACGGACTCAATGAGGTTGGCCTGGAGATAGAGGTACTCCAGCTTCCCCAGGCCCCGGAGGATGCCTTCGGTGAGGTTCCTCAGTCGGTTGTAACCCAGCTGCAGCACCTGGAGGTTGAACTGTCCTGAAAAGGCACCGTCCTCGATGTAGGAGATCTCGTTCTTTGTCAGATTGAGGTATGTCAGGTTGCCGAAGCGGCTGAGTGAGGCGTACTGCACGCTCTTGATCTTGTTGTCGTTCAGCCGCAAGTCCACGATGGTGCTGTTGATTTGCTGGGGGATGGACTCATAGGGGGGCTGGTTTTGGCTGCAGATGGCCAACCAGACAAAGCCCTTGTCCCCCTCGATGAGCCAGCAGTCTGCCCGCACCCCACCGGTGTGCAGGAGAGAGACGGCTGCCACGCACACGCAGAGGGCTGATGTCGCGGCCCACCGGCGACCTGCCATCTGGAAGGGCGGCACAGAGAAGGGGTTCCTGGTCTGCCGGAAGCGCGACGGGGGCCGGGAAGATGTGGGCTAGTGCTCCTGCGGCAGCTTCGCTTGCCTCTCCCTTCTCCTCATGGCTTGGAGATGGGGGGGAAGCGTCCTTGGGGAAAGCAGACCTTGGTGCCCACAGTACTCGGCAGCCACCGGCCAGGGGCTACTACCAAGGCCTGGGTGGCTAGTCCCACGTCACCAGGTCTCTGACATCTTGGGGAGGGAGTCATGAAGTTAGATGCCTGTGTGGAGGAGTGCCTCTGGCTTAGAGGTAAGCCTTCCTCTCACTTTTTATAGTACATCTCCTCGTTTTCTTTGTGCTGCCCATTGCGACACTCGTCCCCATCTCCATGTGTCTCCAGGGGTCTGGCTGTCCCCGCTTGGTCCCTCGGCTCACCTGCTCAGAACAAAACACAAGCACAAACTAAACACAAAGGAAAAACAGCATTTACAGGTGGTGTAGATGCATCCAATTACCCTCTTAATGTTAGGCAGTTGCCTTCTAACTCTGGCTACCACCTTTCAAGGAGCCTTTGGTTTACTGGGGTGCTGCCACCAGTGGCATTTGGCAGCACGAGGGAAGGTGGTCACTGACCATGGAGGTCGTCCTCTGAGCCTGTTGTCCAGCATCACATTACAGGTAGTTGAGAGACCAGCATGCATCCAGGGCACTGTTCGTGTGACCTATTTAGGTGTCTACCTTATGAGGAGAGGAGTGATGCCCCAGAAGTGTCTGTTCCTCTCTGCTGAGAGCAGATGAAGTCTAGACAACTCGCTCTGATGTAGATTTGATGCTGCAGTGTTTTGCTGAGGGGAATCCTGTCTCGCATGCTGGTGTGTGCAGCAGCAGTGCCCACAGAAAAGGATGCTGGTTGAGGACACTGTGTCTCTCTGACTGCACTGCTGTGTGGCATCTAGGATAAAGCCCAGCATCAAGTGACTGTCCTGTTTCTGGGAACCTGAGCAGTAGTTTCAGGGCACTTTTTGACTGCAAAACACACTAGCATGATTGCCTACCACCTGATGTCCTTGTCTGTGGTTGGGGCTTGCTGCCTGTCTCCAAGACCTCTCTCTCCCTCCTGCGTGAAATGATGCAGAGGCGGGGAAAACCCTCAACCACTCAGTGACATGACAAGAGTATTTGCAGAAGATGGGATAAGACCTTTCCTCCCCAGCCAGAAACAGCTGTTTGAAGACCAGGAAGAGTCTTCACTAGACACAAACATATGGGGCTGCCAGCAGCCTCACCTCTCACAGAAAAACTCTCACTCCTGGCTCACATTTTCCATTACTTTTTCCTGAATTTTTGGAATTTTGGATATTAACATACATATCCATGGACACAACTTCTACTTCCCTTTGTAATTTCTTAGGGAAACAGGAAGGCAAAAGTGGAGAGGAGGGAACTGCACGAGCACCAGCATCTCCTGGGTCATGCTTTTCCACAAGATGTTGAAAATATCATCCATGGACATCTTTGCTGCCTAATATCTCTCTGGGCTGGTAGGACAGATGCAGTGAGGTGGTGTGGCAGAAATGGAGTTGGCCACAATGGAGAGAAAACATCATTGCCTATCTAGAAAAATCCTTCTTGGGACTTTTGTTGGGGATAGGAGCTCTGGTTGTGTCCCTTATCCCAGGACAGACTAGAAAGACACCACCAGCACTCCTTGGAACACAGCTGGTAGGAACTAGAGGTTTCTTGGGCATCCATGAAGGAAACAAGGGCACATCTTACATCTAAATTGTTTTTCATTGCATCTGCAAAATACTATAAATCCAGAAATTTGTTTCCAAACCATTTCCCAGTGCCCAGGCAGTGAAGGGAATGTGCTTGGTGCTGCATGCCTGGAAAATCACATGAGGCTGATTGTCAAGGGGCATTTAGAAGCAGATGCCATACCCTTGCCCTTGTTCTGAAGAAACCAGGTTCTTTTCTACCCATGATACCAGGCAGTGAAGCAGACCATGTTTCACTGCAGACATCCCTGTTAACCATTCACAGTTTATGCCTCAGTAAACAGGCCAGTAATAATATGCAGTAAAACAGTTTATTTGTTCTTTCTGGATTGTGAACAATGAATCTATTCCCTGATGGCACAGTTGGGTTTCCATTACACGAATAACAAGATCTGCTCTCGTGTCAGCGCTCTGCACATGAGACTCTCCGGCCACCTTGTCCTCCAGCAGACGCCCCACCAGCTGCTAGGGGCAGCTGTGGGGGAAAACAACAGCCAGACATTCAGTGCCTCCACGGAGGGCAGGTGTGCAGTACACCCTTCTTGCAGACGGTACGGTCTGCAGTGGATGTGCAGTTGCGTGTGGGTGAGATGTACTGGCCCTAAGATGTTTCTGTGGGGCCCTGCATGGGTACTTGCAGGCCTCTCTTTGCCTTCCCAGACCATGGTTCTGTCCTTTCCCAGATACAATTGGCAGAAAACTCAACAAAGGCAGGTTTTCAAAAGTTTATGAGATGTGGGGCTTGGGTGGAAGGAATGCTGAGGGCAAGGCAGCTGAATCTCAGGTCTCCTCCTTCCTGGGGGTAGAAACCTGGACTTTAGCATTTACACAGCTTTTACATTGCTATTCTAGCTGAAGCCCTTCTATCAGCACAGTGACACTGGTACTGTGGGTAACACCATTTGGGGGAACAGTACCTGCTGCACTGGCAGGAGCACATTTGCAAGATGTGCTGTGTCTGCCCTGGGATGCATTGCCAGGACCTGGCAGCCCATTTTGGCATAGCCAAGCCCTTGGAACCAGTGAAGAAGGGAAGAGAGACTGTGCTCCTTGGGGCACTGCAGGTAAGTGACCCCCCCTTACCACCTCTCCAGCTGACAGGGAGGCACAGGCTGCAGTGCCAGGCTGAAAGACGTCTGCTGCTACATCCCTCCCGGCTCTGGGCAACTCAATTAACCTCTCTGCGCTGCAGTCTCCTCTCCGGTACTGTGAGATAATGATGGCACTTCACGGGGCTGTGGGAGACTGAAGGAAAGTGCCCTGAGCTCCTCTTGTTGGGATGAAAATCCCAGCAGATGTCTTGTGCTTCAAGCGGAGAATTCCTCTCCCTCTAGCTGCAAGCTGAGCTCTAGATGTGCCCACTCTCTTCTGCCACAGGGACCAGCCTGGTCTTCAACTCCTCAGAGTGCCTCCAGTGGGAGTGCACATTGCCCCTAAGGGTGTGAGAGAAGGGTGGTCCTGACCTGCAGAGCCATAAGCAATGGTGTGCCCCAGCTGTCCCTTTGGGATGGCACAGAGGATGCTTTCCTTGCCTGCTGCCCTGAAGTGCTTGCCCTTGGTGCGAGCATCTCCCTGCCCTCCTTCACGGGTTTGTGCACTACGGGCACCTCCCGCAGGCAGGGGAAGCCCTGCCGAGTTGAGACAGCACAGGCAGCAGGGAGTGACGCATCTTGGCATATTCTCTTTAGCAAGCACTTATTCTGTCTCCTCTAACTCCCATTTTGACCCAGCCATCCTTCTGGGCAAGCTTATGTTTGTGATTGCTCTGCAGAGCCAAACCAGCCTTTTTCTTGCAGAGGAAGGTTTCTTGTCACTCCTCCCTGGGAAGGCTGTGGGCTGCAGCCTGTGTCAGAGGGCATCAGCTAGCGGAGCGGGACCATCCTGTGGGCAAGGAGCGGAGACAGACCTTCCATGGACCTTGACAGGTTGATCCCCTATAGCCTTCTCGTCACCCATGTGACTCCCTCATCTAATTGGAGGTGTTGGTGATGAAGAAGAGCAACCGTAAATGACTCAAACACGTTCAATAAGGCTCCTGCTGTGTGTTTTCTCTTCTTTCCTGTACATTGCCTATCAGATGAGTCCTTCCCAACAACAGAAAGGAGAAAAGGCATTTTATCAGCAGCCTGAGTTTAATTTCAGCTCATTAAAGCAAGCAATTTGCTGGTTTATTTGCTTTGCAAAGTGTGAATAAAATGACAGCATTAAGGAGATGTAAGAGAGGAAAGAGGGGCTAATCTCCCTTTTTATTAGATTGCTAGGACATGACTGGGGACTGGAGATGTGGGTCTTGTTGCTTTGCACAGAAGGCATAATTGTTCATCTTGTTGGCTTCTGAAAGCCTCCTTCCCAGCATCATGCCAAGGCGGGTGTGTGTGGGTGTGTGTCTGTGTGCGCGTGCTGCAACATCAGCCATCTCACAAGGCAGGGTGGGCGCAGGGGCACTTGCAGTGGTTCTCAACTCTGTAACAGCAGAGAACAAACATCCAGGAGGTTTTTCCTTCTTCCCTTTTCTACCTTTTACCTTGCCACTAATTTCTCTTTTCTATTCATTTCTGCTTCTGAAATCTCAGGCTTGATTCTTGCAGCCAAGTAGCCTTTGCTGTCCCTGACCTCCTGCAGCTGGGACATGGATCTGGAGAGCAGAGGCGAGACCCCTCCTGCCTCTTCGCCACAGATTGGATAAAAACCAGTAAGAAAAGCTAGTGTTTTAACCCTCCTGCCTGACTGATTTGTCTTTGCCTAGTTGTCCTGGTTTTATTCTCCTGGTAACCCAATTGCACACCACTTTTCCCAGTCCTCTGACCCTCTGCAGAGCTGCTTGGGAGAACCTGGAAACAAACCACTTACAACTCTAATGTGAAAACCTACCAGGAGATCTGGGTTCTCCTTCACTGATTGAGAAAGAAGCAAAATAGAGGAATTAAGACAGTGTGGAATAACAATAGCAATGATTTGAAATGATTAATTTCATCTCAATTCAGAGCTAACTTGAATTGTGGCACCGTGCTGACAAGGACAACAGGGCGTGTCCATGGGGACACCATGGTACCCACCCAGCACCCTGAAGGAAATATCATTCCTGCACAGAGTTACCTGTGCACCACAGACACTGCTGTATTTCCCTTTCCTTCTGCTTTCATAAGGCAGTATGGTTTGACCAACTGAGAAGATGTTGGGCTCATGTGGCTTACAGAGGCCAGCAAAGGGACAATGACAACTCCCTCACTCCTTGCTGCTCTTACGCATCGCCTCTGATCTCCAGCATCCCTGCTGGAGTCCGGATCCGTGTTTCACCCTGCTAATCTTTTGCTTTGACCTTCGATATCCTCCCCTCATACCTGTCCCTGCTTCCCCAGCCCTGGTCCCCATCAACAACCAGCAGCAAAGGAGGACTACTGTGATTTTGTGATGTGCACGAGGCTGCAGCCTGCACTGGATGAGCAGCAGCAACCTTGTCCTGGCTGAAAACCCACAGAAAGGGAGATGGAAAGGAAAAGGCAAAGCTGAGGCTCCAAAAACCAGTGCAGGCTGGCTGGTAAGTTCTTGCTTCCATCTCCTAACTAATGGCATCTCAGTAAATTAAACCAGAGCAGCAGCTGCAAGGAAGCAAACAAAGCAGCTGTGGGGGCTGGGTAGGTAGAGGGAGAGTGAGCTGGGCAGCACATATAAAATATGCTGTCCTGGCACTCAGTTCCTAATTTTGTTATTCTACTGAATGAGTTATTTCAAACTGTGGATTAGATTTACTGAGTGAGGGCAAGGAGCCAGATTAACATGCACGCGCGTGTGCGTGCATCTACACACAACAGCGCTCCTCTCTTTGGCATTTCTGCATCTCTGATCTTCATTCTCCCTAGCTGCTCCATCTCCAGCTGGCTGTGTTTCAGCTTCTCTTAGACCCTTTCACAGCTGCTTGGGCCATTTTATCAATAAATGAAGGAGCCCCACTACAAAGAGAGCCAGAGCAAAATGGGAGCAATACATTACAAACGCTAAATATTTAGTCACCCAGAGATGGAGAGGGAAAATTTGGCTAACAAGCACCAAACCTTAAAATTAACTTTGGGTCTTCATTATGCATAAAATAATCTCTGCAAGATGGCAGAGAAAACATTTATCAGTGATGAAGTCTCCCCTAAACGGCTTGACGTCCATCATGTGTATGTCAGGTGGGGAAAGGATGCTTCCAGGCAGGTTTTTCTGCTCATTCGTATTCCTGGTGTTTGCTACATGCCTCCTGACGGGTGATGTTGGTCAGAATCACAACCACACTGAATAATAAAGATGCCCAGGACTGTAAAATTCAGGTTCATTTTATATCTAGAGGTCCTGGGACTAATATTGCCTCCACAGACAGGGTTTAGGCAGCATTTTGTGCATCACAACCTTATTCCCAAATGCCTCACAATGTTAGATAATAGAGTCCTCCAGTCAATTCTACTCTCTCTCCTGCTATTATTTGTTATTTAAGAAAAATAGGCAAGGGAGAAGAGATATGTTTTCCACTGAGATTTGAAGAGAGATGAAGAAGAAATGAAGCAGAGAGGTAAAAGGGGGCTGAGAGAGAAGTGCCCAGCATCGCATACAGGATGGCTTTTCCTGAAACCTCAGGAGGTCACAAACTAGATGACAAGTAGCCAGGTGGGAGGGATAGGGAAGAGATCGCTTTTCTGGGGTAGGCTAGAAGAAGCGAACAGAGATTACACGCTTGGTCTCTATACACTGTTACCACTGTATCAACCCTCATGGGCCCCACATGGTGCCAGGGCCAACGTTTCTCTCTTTGTATTCAAGGGGGATACAAGTCATTAGAAATCAAGACAGTGATGGCTCCTTGGTGTCCACAGAGTCTCTGGCTGCTGGATCATTTTACAGTCTCTTTACAGGAGGCATGGGACACTTTCTGTCTGAGGAGCCTGAAATGCATCTGGTTGTCAAGGCCCTGAGACACTAATGACCCTGATCAGCCTCAGCTGGGACCTCCACCCACACCCCCTGCCCATGGGCTCAAAAGCTTCATATAAGCTCAGCTCTGGGCATCTAGTCTTCTCCTGAGCTCTGCTGACGGTGTGACTCTCTCCAGCCCTGCCTCCAGGACAGACCTCAGGCCTGTGTGGTGGCAGGTGGCCAATCTCCTCGATGGACCCCTCAGACATGCGCTGCAGCTTGTGTCCAGTGCTGCCCCGGGCCCCATCTCCTTTTGCTCCTGACTTGACTCCTTGATGGACCCTGGATATGGGTAATGGGACTTGCCTGGGACCACAGGCCCTGTTACCAGCACCTTGCCTGCTGTGTTCATGAGCTGGGAGACACCACCCTGGGTGGGGAGAGAACCCCCTGCGCTGGGGTCGCCCCTGACTCCTGCCTTTGAACAGCCAGCCCTTGCTGCTGCCTGACATAGATTTCCATAGGAGACAGCTTCCTCAGCAGCTGGTTCTATGAGAGGAATTCTCCAGGGAAATAATTTTCTGGTGTATAAAGTATTTTCTGCAAAATTAAACCTCTGGCTGAAAATCTGTGATCTTGGAAGTTGAGATTTAGGCCAATTTAGCTGTAACTGGTCAAGGCCATTGTGCCTCCACCAGCCAGGCTGAGGCCAGCACTGCAGTCTGGGAATGGCCAAAAGAAACTTGTTTGTGCAAACACTTTAAAGAACCTTTTAGTTCTATGGCAAAATAAATTCTGGGTTAAAATGACAATGTTTTCAAGACAGGTTAGCTCTTAGGATTTCAGGAAATACAGATATTCTGCCTTTCACTCAGCTGCGGTCTGAAGTCATTTGCATCCATCTCATGCTGCATAGCTTCCAGGGTCTATCGAGATGACAACCCTATTGCACACTGCTGTGGGCCACTGAGCAAAATTCTCTGCTGAGTTTAAGTAAATGCATAAATGATCTTCCCTGGTGAACATCCTCTTAAGCCCAGCTGGGCTACCTGTGCATTAAACCAGCCTTCTGAAATACCAGCATGGGCAGATATGAAATGTCACCTCCAGCCTGTGACAGTTGAGCCCTCAAAGAGCCAAGGAGTGCAATTAGAGGGGCAGAGTTAGAGGAAGGTGAAGAGGAAAAAGATTTTAGGGGATGTAGAGTACTAAAAGCTCTGATCGGGTACAACAGTAGTAATAAGAAAATTGTGTTTCCATGGGAGAAAGCCTCTCAGCATTTACTTGATGGAGTTCTTCCTTAGAAATAATCAGCCTGAATCACAGCTCCATTATAGGATGGTTATGCTGATATTAGGCTGGAGAAAAGCAGAGGTCTGGGGTGGAAGCAGGACTCCTGTTTCCCCTCTGTAAATAGTGCTGAAGATCAAAGCATGTTTTTCCAGCACCGATACAATGGAGGGAGCCAGCCCCGTGCAGGGAAGCGAAGCTGCTGGTGTTCCTCAGCACTGACAATCTGAACTGTGCCTTGTCTCTGCTTCATTGTCATCCTTGCTCAGATCTTTGCTGCTATTTGGAAGAGGATTTTACTGCTTTCATTCATTAATTTATTTTTGCAGGAGGCCCAGGTAACCCTTTGCATCCCAGATAAGAAAAACCCACTTTTATACAGAATGAAATCTGGTGGTGGATCCATGAAATGGTGAGCTTTGTTACAAATTACTTTCAGAGGCACAAGTGTTTTGCTTTTTTTTATGGTCATATTTTCAAAAGCACTCTTCTCTCTCTGTCCCACTCATCCCCTGTGAAGGGGGGTCACGAGCCAGAAAATGTGGGTCTCTGACCAGTGCCTACCTCAGCTGGAGTTCCTAGGTGGACTGTACTGCTGACTGTTGGCAGATGGACAAGAAAAATATACAGCACATGTAGGACTTCATGGCAATGGTCTGCTGTGATCTCAGGTGGGCAAAAAGGAATTCAGCAAGTGTCCTGCACACAGGAGTCACCATGGCTGAGGTGGAGGCAAACACCTTTGCTAACCTCTTACTGACTTGTTCAACCTTGGTCCTGCTTCTCTGGTTGGAGAAGACTTCCAGACATCTCTCCCAACCTGAATTATTTTGTGATTTTAATGATTTAGTTCTTATCCTCTGGAGCTGAGGAGCCAAGCTTAAGGTTGAACCCTCTGGTTGTCTGCTTTTTTGAAGGGGATTTCTGCCTAGATATAGCAGTATCTGGCAAGCCCCAGTGCCCTACAGGCCTAATTTTAGCTCAGTGTTGCAGGCTGGTTTCCTGTCATGGGCCAGAAGAAGGTTAATGATCATCTGGGCAGCTCTCCAAAACCAATCTAATGTTTATTCAGGATAACAGCATTGCAGAGGAAACCAAGCATGACCACCTTCCATGCACAGCTTACCCAGCCTGTACATGGCTCTACTGGAGGAGCTCAGGTTTGTTGGCTTTTAGAGGAGGGACCCTCTTCTCCTTCCCTAGGTCAAGACAGGTCCTCTGCAACATTTTCAACCCTGTCTATGTCCTGAGCTCTTAACCCAAACAGATGCTGTGTTTCTACAGAAAAACACTTTAACAGGCTGTGGGTCTCTTGTTTCAGCAGTGAAAATATGCACTCATCCTTCCAGATAAAATTTTATATGCCGCTCCTCCTGGGTCAAACACCCATGCTACAAACAAGTATCCATGCCCCAAGCACCTTAGTTTGTTGGTCCCCATGAAGGGATGGTGTTCAGGCCCACTGCACCCTCCAGGTCCCTGCAGTGCTAGGAGGAGCCAAGGGATGTGGGACAGTGATTCCAGCCTGGGTGGCTTGGATGTTTCAGGTCTTTCCTCCAGCCGGGTTTAGGATGGGGGTAGGAGCACGAAGGGCTGGTGCAGATTAGCACATGAGGTTGTGGAGGGATGTGAGATAGCAGGGACTGTACCTTCCGACAGAGGGCAGAGCCCACAAGATGCTTGTGGGTGTTTATTCATCTCAGCTGCTGTTAATTTCAGCCTTGAACTTACAGACTTTTTCTCCCAGCAGTGCAACCCCCTCAGTTGTTCTGCTGTGACTTTGACACAACACGAATGGACATGCAACGGACTCATCCCAAGGATACCCCACACCGGTAGGGAAGTGCACACGCTGCTTACTTGGGGCTTCCCTTGGGTCCCTCAGAGCTCCACGAAGGGTTTGGTTATGAGCCATAAAGTCTGAAGGCTGGAGACATGCTATGCTGAGAGAATGACTCTCCTCCAGCAACAAGTACTTGTAGACATACATGGTCAGCAGCAGAGCTCTTGCTGCTTCCCTCAGGGGGCAGAAAAAATTGTACTGATGGCAAAAAGTGTTTTCTGAGAGAGCCCTCAGATGCCAGTACTGGCTTCACCATCAACAGTCCCAAAATAGCTGATTCTTGATGGCTTCCCAGGCATGCTCTGAGGGGCACTGTGAGAACATCTATTTAGTAGGGTCTCTGGAGAGTGCTGGGCATGTGCTTCCTCCTACCTGAAATGGTCAGGGGGATGGCCAGGCAGCCAGATGGCCATATTTGTGTGGAGCTGATACGAATGTCTCCTAATTGTGTTTACAGTTAATGTGGCTCCTAGATACCTGAGCAAGTATCTTTATTATGTTAAACCTGAACAGAACAAAGATATGGCTGTACTACAGGCTTGGGTGGCAGTCAGTGTTTCTGTCAAGGCTAGCTGAGTTCTCACTGAAGTATGCCCATGCACATGTGGGAATAAGCAATGCCCATCTTTGCCCATAGAGGATGCTCAGACACAGGTATGAGGGACCATTGTGTCTCTGTGGTGCCAGCAAGTCTAAAACCCAACCAAATGGCCTTCTACCCAAAAATGTTTGGGTAGAGGCAGAGAAGCTTGACGAAATGGGTCAGGTACATGCCAGGCTTCATCCAAGAGAAATTGGTTTTATCTTGACACATGGTTAATGCCAAACTGCTGGTGGAAAAGCAGCAGTAACAGCTGTTGGTGTGTTAGTGTGCACTTGCAGCACACGAAAGCCCTTCCTCATCATATCTGCTGCTCAGCATGTCTGTGGCCACTCTCTGGGCTGCTGTATTTCCCTGCTTGTCCAGAGACCTGCAAAAGATACGGAGAGTGGAAAGAAAAACTTTGGAGTCCAAGACAATAGAAGCAGGGAACTACACCAGGATTTGGATTTGCCCGTCCTTTTCATAAACATTTCCTGTGGAGGTTACCCAGCTTGAAAAAGCAAGTGAACCCAGAACACCCACCCTCTCTGGAGGAATGGAGTTTATCGTTAATAATCTACTGCTAAAAGGGTAACATCTGTTTTGGACAAACTGTAATGAGATTTAAACCCCAGGTGGAGGGAGGACTTCACAGTAATAAATGACTTTCTGTATGTCTAAATAGTTTTAATTTTTTTTCTGGCAGAAATAGCTGCTTTTCACCTCAGGCTTCTTTTTGCCAGCTCTTTTTGTTTAATGATTGCTATTAATTTCCAGGGTGGCAGATGGATTCTAGCTTGGTGTAGTCTGAAATGAGGAAAAACAGACCATGAAGGTGCGAGCTTGCCATGAACGTGTGCACAGGTCACACATGCACTGGTGGGATGCCATGTGTGAGTGTTTGTTTTCCAGGGGAACTAGAGCTTCTCAGTAGCTGCTCCCTGCCCCTGGGATATTTCAGCATCTCTCCCTAAGGAAGCAGAAATAACTTTCCTGGTCACTGCTAGTAGTTCCGCCTGTTTAGACCTTGATTCAACAAAGCTGCTAATTTCAGCAAGGCTTTGGGAAGAATTCAAACCACCACTTAAGTGTGCTAAATCCAAGCTGAAGTGAACTGGAGAGCAACATGTGGTCTCCGGAACATGGGAAGGAACTCCCTGCCCTGTCTGGGTGCTGCCAAGCAATAGGGATTCCTCCTTGGGCATGAAACACAGACATTTTTCAGTGCTTTTCCATGGTATTGTGATTCTATGTTATATATGTAGTGTGGGATTCTCCAAACAGGCAATTCTTCTCCATCCTCTGACTGTGGAGACAAGAAGCTGCTCTTGAACCCAGCACACCCTGCTACAAGCACCTGGTGCCCAGAGGAGGACTTCGTCCTCAATGCCACCACCTCCTTCTCAAGAAGCCCACTGAACAGCTAATCCAAATTAGTGCTACAGCATGCCAGGGTGCCCTCCTTTCTCTTTCCCCTGCTGTGGAGCATCTCTGGACATGGCTCAGGACGCAGGTGTGCAGGATACATGGGTGGCCAGGTGAGAAGCTGGGTCCAGGAAATGAGTCTGCTGATGGACCACCACATGGCAGTGCCCTGCAGCCAGGTAGCTGCCCCAAGACAAGAGTGTGGTGGAGAATGGGGGAAGGAGGGAGGGGTTTTGTTGTCTGGGACTGGGTGAGCCCTGGGGATGGAGGGAAGGGGGTAGAGATAGAAAGTGCAGCATCTCAGGTGATGCAGATAATCTCCTTTAATCTCCTGCTCAAAATAACCCAAAGTCAAGTAAAGGAGGGATTATATGTCCTAAGCCACTGTTATCGCCAGGGTGTGACAGACTTAGGTTGCATCTGAAGGGTTGCTGAGGAGGAAGAGGAGCTGCAGAAAATACTGACCTGTGTAAATGCCTCCCCAGCAAAGGTGTCAGGGTGGGCTGGGGATCCTCCTGGGGTAGCCCAAGGAGAGTGGGGGTTGCAGAGTGGGCAGTTACCAGCAGATTTGAGAGCCTGCGCAGGGACTGTCCTGGGGAGAGACTGTCTTAGATACCACTTGTCACCTTGATGTTTCTGATGGGTTTATTCTTAGTGCTGGGTCCAAAGCACTTTATAGCCGTTAATTATTCTAATGGGGAAGCAGTGACCATCAAACCCATTTTACAGACAAGAAATAGAGACTGTGAGGAGGTGAATGATACATCAGGTGCTGGGGCAGGTGGTCAATCCCTGCCCTCCCAGCTCCCTCCAATTTTAATGGCCCTTTTCTTACATCCTCTCAGATTACAGCCTCTCACATGCATGTTCATGATAGCTGTGAGGCACTGGTAGGCTGAAGGCATCTTGTACCCTTTGCCAAAAAGCCACACCAAGGCTCAACTGCTGTGCTACTGCCAGAGAAAACTGAATTGCAGAGCCCTATTCATCAGCTCCTGGCGATGCCTACAAGATAGTGGCAGCACAGAGACACTGTGAAGTGGGATTGCAACGGGGAGGGAGCAGAGCATGTTCATTTTAATGAGCTTGTCCCTGCCTAAAGGAGAGAGAAAGCGAGAGGCCAACCTGGTTTAATAAACTCTAGCATGTGGATTTAATCAGATGGATCATTGTTCCCCTGCACAGGGATGAATATATTAAAAAAATGATTCAAACTTTTCCCCTTTGTTTTTCATTTGTATTATGTGCTGTGGTGTGATAAAACATCCTGGGGCCAACTTGCAAGGCAATAAAAAAGATGGAGAAGGAGAGGAAGACATTGATCCATGTGAGTGAGCACAAGCACTGTGCAGAAGGAGGCTGCTGGTGGGCAGAGCTTGAAGTGAGGGACTGCAGCATCCTCAGCCCCACACCAAAACCCCACGGAAAATGTGGTGATGGGGTCTGACCCACTGTCAGCTCCTTTTCAGGCCTCTAGCACCAAGCCTTGATGGTACATACAGTAAGATGTGATCTGAGATGACTAATAGGAGTTTAAGTCCAGTGCTAAAAGCTGTCCCTGGTCAAGCATGAGACCTCCATCTTGCTACAGAAATGTCTGTGCACAAGTGTGTCCCCATGTTCCTGCTCCAGGGTGGAGAAAAAGGGACTTGCCCAGTCTCCCACCTTCTGCAGGGACACCAACTAGGGTGACATGCTGGTAGTGATTTGGGGTTAGATGGCACTTGCCTTTAAGGGAACAGTGCAACAGAACAAAGTTTCCTCTGGACTCTCCCCTCCTCCTTACCAGGAGTCACTTCATCACTGCCTCTCCATTGCACCACGTGCCAGGCAGCTAAGAGTGGAGTCCTGGGTGCCGCTTCTTAATTTAGAGAAACTAAATGGTTCCAGCTGCAAAGTTCCAAGCTGTTGCGTGCATGGCAGCTAGGTGAGGGCTGTATTGCAGGAGGGAGCAGGGATCTGCCACTGCTTGCTGGTGGAAGGCCACATCACTGTGCCTCTGCCTGTCCCTGGGGACAGCAGGCATTGCAGTGAGGCACGGGAAGATCCTGATCCAGCACAGCAAAGAGCAAAATGGGTCTGCAGTCAACATGGGTAAGATTGTATTGGTGTGTGCCTCAGTAGTGCATGGCTCTGGGCTTGCTACGCAGGTGTGAATAAAGCCCACTTAGGCAAAATAGTCTTTTGTACTAAATCCTAGACAGACCACCTGGTGCTGTGGTGAAGGACAGACCTTAGGGGCCTCCAAGATGTCTCCATAGAATTCACCTCTTCTGCCTAGCCCCAGCTCAATATCCTTGGCTCAGGCACAGGCTTAATAACCTCTAGCCCTTGCTTTGTTCACTCTTTTCTGGCCCATCAGGCTGTGTGGCACTGGGACATGAGGCACTGGCTCTCCAAGGCTGGATTTTAACCACTATCCTTAATATTAAAGCCAGAGCTATCCACCTGCATTGGTGTATGATGAGATAGTCAGGAGGAGACACAGCCTCCCTGGCAGGTTGCAGATGGACATTTGGCTAAAGGCAGCCTGGAAGTATTTTTGGCAGGGGGCTACTACAGGTCCCCCTGCTATGGACCAAGGCTGTGCCTGACACGTTTGCAGCCCAGCCCTAGGACAGAGGCTGAGTTTGTGGTGAGAACCCAGAAATTGCTCTGAGCTTGGTCCTCACCTTCCTTTGAGATGGCTCACCTCTCCCAGTGACCATGGGGTGATGGTAGTGTTTGGAGGAGTGAAAAATGGTATCTTCTTCCTTTAGAAAGATTGATCTAAAATGTGTCATTGACTCATTCACTGAGAAGTCTCTTACGGCCACTTGGTGTTAAATATCGCAAACTTTGGCTTCTAACACACCCCGATGCTACTGCTTCATTACTTTATCAATTACTGTTCATAAACACTAATAAATAATCCTATTTTCATTCCTACCATTGTTTAAGTGGTCATTAATTGTGGTTTATATGCTGTCTTTGTGTATTTGTGTACGATAGCATCTTCATGATTCCTTGATTAACTGTGATTGATTGTGTATTTTAAAATCAATTAAAAGTTTCAGCACTAAAAGGTAGAGTCTTTAGCAGTAATGCTCTGAGACACTGCCATTTATAACGGAGCTATTATAGTGCTGGGATCCATTAGTGTGGCACACTGTAATCTTTATTTTCCAGATCTATGCAAATACGTATGTATGTGTGTGCATGTGTCTGCATTTCTTTTGTGCGAGTTATATGACTGGAAGAGGGTGCATGGTATGGGAAAGAGAGTCAGCTTCTCACAGGGTTGTTGGACCACAACAGAGTAGGCTGGCTTTTGTGGATGTCCAGGTATCACCCACTCTCTTCCTTAAGACACTAATGCAAGGGCTGGGTTGCAGGATCCTGTAATTTCCTTGCTGGCACGATGGTGCTATGTATTAGTTTTCTATTTGTAAAGAGGAGCTGGCTGCTAATACCCTCAGCTGAATGAGGCCACAAAGAGGGACGTGTGTTTTTCTGCACTGCTGTTCAGTGAATGCATCTGTGCCTTCCTTGGTGGGGTGGAGGTGGGGGATACATGGGAGGACAGGGGTGACACGTTGGTGGCAGTGCTGGTATGATGGAGGAGGAGGGACAGCCACTGCCTGGGCACCAGGGCATATGCCAGAGCACAAATCTCTCTGCCCTATAATATCATGCTTATATTAAATCAGTCCTGAGGCTCTCATATTGCTGTTGTGCTGGGAAAATGTGTGTGTACAGCACCAGCGGAGGAGGAAATGGGGTTAACACTGCTCTCTTCATGCTTCCCGCTTTGCCCTGCAAATGTGAATGCTTCGTGCCTATGCCTCTGTGCATACCAAAGCATCCCTGTCCAAGCAGCTTCTCCTGGCCCATGCAGTGAATTAGGGGTGAGGACACCATGTAAAAGATTTTGTGCAGGTGCTCTGAGGGGGAGCAAATTTCCCAAGGAGCCAGGGGGAAATA